TTCCAATTACTAATAAACCACTGTGACCAGGGTATCATTCTTTATATAAGTATTAGTATTTATTAGAGTGGTTCATTCTGTACACACAAAGCTGGTCCATCCTGTACCACATGGTAGTTGGACACTAAAACGGACATGCCAAATAAATTAAAAAGGATAAAGGTGTCAAATCAACACTATCGTGTTCAGAAAGCATTATTTTATAGAAACTGACAAAAAAACAAAAACATACCGCTCGAAATTTTTCTAAAACACTCAAAAAGAAACAGACGAATATTTCACTTTTTCTCGCAAAAAAAGGAAAAGTGAAACAGTTAAATCGGCTACTAAAAACATTTAATAAAATTTACATCTGGTTATAGAAAGCCAAGAGACGTATATGAATTTAAATTTTAAAAAAATGTTAGCGCATGTTTACTATTTTTAATTTCGAAGGTCCTTTCGGTACCTGGTCCATTCGACCCCAGTCTCCCCTACTTTAAAGCATTTAGTTCTTTTGTATTTGCAAGATTATTGAATATTATTAAATTATAAAATAGCTCAAAAAAATTTTGTTCAACATTTAAAGAAATAGACATTAAAATTAATTTGACTTTAATAAATGAACGCTAAAATAGACATTGTTACGTTTTAAACTTGTTTAAAACAGAAATGGGTGATCGCAACAAATGTTATAACTGTGGCAAACCTGGCCACATGGCGAGGGACTGCAAAAGTAGCAGGACAGCTCGAGATGGTAACCGAAGAGATGCAGGTTTCATTTATTCATTCATTATTTCAGAATCAAAAAATAATTTGATAAGATTACAAGTTAAAGTTTGATTTCATTTTTTAAAAATGTTTTCGATGTAGGTAACTGTTACAATTGTGGAAAACCTGGCCATCTGGCTCGTGACTGTACCGAACAGTCAGCAGCATCTGAAGACACAAGAAAGTGCTACAACTGTGGCCAATCAGGGCACTTGTCAAGGGATTGCTCAGAATCAAAATCAGGAGGAGGTGGTGGAGGTGGAGCTTGCTACAATTGTGGAGAGGAGGGTCACTTGGCTCGTGACTGCACTGCAAAGAGATCAACTGGTGGTAATAAAGGGGGTGGAGCTTGTTACAACTGTGGTGATGAAGGACATTTGGCTCGAGACTGTCCTGATAAAAAACAGGAAAGGAAGAGAGACGACATCAACTGCTATAAGTTTGTACTTGCTAGACTTCTTCATTTTTTTCCTAATTCTTTGAAATATTTTTTGTTCATGAGATACCTGAATGCCCATTATAAAAAGATGTGAAATGAACAGTTTAAAATGAATTTCTCATATAGGCCGGTTCTATGTCTGGATGGAAGATGAAAGCAAATTAACATGAAGTAGCTGGTTTTCTCATGATACACCAAGGCATGTCCATTAAGTTGTTAGATTATTGAAGAATCATTGAAAGGCGTCTAAAAATACTTCTTTCTGAAAGAGTTTCCATAATTTTAAGACTTGAGACACAGTAAACAGTTTTGGTAGTGAATTAGGCCAGCAAGATGAATGTTAGCTAAATTTTTTGACTTTCAGTACGTCTTGTCACTGAGAAGAGCACTCATAGCTGGTTTTGTGTTTTCAAAGTATTGCTGGGCACTTTTAAGCATATATTGCTTGCTAAAATTTAAGTCAAGTAATCTGTTAATCTGTGTCAACAAAATTAAAGAAAGAAATTACGTCTTACTGAAGGGTACTGAATGCAGTAGTAGGGAAAGAAAAAGATGACATGGCAGTAAGACAATATGAACAGGGATCGGATCAAGAAATGAAAGAGGTGAGAAATTGGCGGAATTCTGCAAACGACAAACGTTAGTAATCACAAGTGCCTAATTTGAAAAAGAAGTAAATATAGTTGGAAAGCACCGAGAGATTTTACAAGATATTTAGATTATATTGCGGTGAGACAGATATATGGGAACTGTATTAAAAACGCACAAGTCTTGTTTTGCCCAATCATCGTCTCTCAGGTAGGTGTTAGCACAATTATCCATTGCATCACAAGATGAGACAAGGAAAACAGATTTGTTTATGTAGTAATAGAAATATCACTGGATAAGTTTATCAATCTATTTGCAAAGAAAATTTATTATGTTAGGAGTTTGGACGTGCTAAAAGACTACTGCTACCAAGATTTTTTTGTGAAAATATGCAGTATAATCCACGACATTATTGGGCAATTTACCTTTATTTTTCAACTAATTTTTTGTCCTAATTTATATGGGTTTGTGATATTTTTTGACCAGGTGTGGAGAGAACGGTCATATGGCTAGAAACTGTCCAAAAGCGAACGATTCATCATCAAATACAAGGTGTTACAGCTGCAACGAGATGGGTCATATTGCCGCAAGGTGCCCTAACAAAGAATAACTCCGTTCCTGTGAAGTCGGCCACTTGAGACGTGTTAACGAGGGATTACCATCATTTTTTAAATTTATGCCCTTGTTGAAATTTTACCGACTGAAGTTTTTATCTCAGGAAAATTTAAGCCATGCTGTTGTTATAATGATTTTATCGAGCGGTAATTTATCGTTCATTCTTGAAAGGCGCTGCACGTTGTACGTGTTATACGACATTGTTATCGAGAAAGCGATTGCCGATCTGTGTACGATTGCAATACAATCTTTCCGTTTGATTGAACGCGTGTCTAAATCAATAGCAAGATTTTGTGGTAGAATAATTTTAATGGTCTGATGGATAAAGTAATTACAATAAACATCTTGTGAGCAAATTAGATGTTTCATTTTAGATAATATAACTTAGAATCACATGCCAGTAGGCAAACTGGAAGAGTGTGGTGTGTCACTGAAAATGCCTAACTAAACCTTAAATCTCTGTCGCAAAAATCGTCAGAATATTGTATTTTGAAACTGCTCAAGTTGAAATGTTCCATTAAACACGGAATAAATTATTTTGGAGCGTAGACATCAAAAAAATCATGAAGGTAGATATGTTATGTAAGGCATCTCACCTCATGTAATGGGTCGATGCATTGGATTTTATGATAATTTTATTCGTGCAGCGCCCTTCTGGCGTGATTGGAAGGAAAGATTTCTTGGCTCCAAAATAACTAAAACTTTGTAAGTGTTTATTGATTCCAAAAATTACAAATCGACTAAGCATTTAAATAAATTAACGGTTTGTCCGTATATGGTGCTTTTGTCACCCTTAATGCTGCGATGTCACCTAGAGCTGCAATTTGTTAATTACAATGAGGTCGCGATAAAGAACGTTCACAAACGTAAGATGACGTAAATAATTTCTGATAATGCTAAACATGTCGAAAAGTATGCTACGTTCATTTTGCTAGCTAAAATCATTGATTAAAGAAAGAAGTGCATTACGCAGCTAATGTACGATATTAATGCATGCGAACACTATTAACGAAAAGAAAAAAAATTATACTATGGTTGACGAATAAAATTTTCGAACATGAAATCAGAAAAATCATTTCCTATGTACCTGAGTATTTAAAACTCTCAATCTAACATAATAAAGGCATTTTCCTGCAGTTTCAAAAAATGGAGCGATCAGAGCTTTTGTAATCGAATAGACGACTTGGTGAACGCATTGCAACTGCACGTCAATGCTTTTGATGCATGGTAGACAACACCAAACTCGCATGAATGATAATATGGCAAACTGGAGTCCACATAACATAGCTGTTGGGATGGCTAACAAAGTGGTGGCAGTCAAATAACATCTTTTTTTGGAACATCTGAAAACCTAGATATCAGAAGTGAACAAACGTCCTATTACACAAATAAAAATAAATATTAGAAATTGGGATTTATAACGTTAAAATACAACACCAAACTTGCTATTTAGTAACAGATAGCTCAAGTTAATTTGAGAGTTTTACGTTTTTTGAAGTGTTCCAGACACTTCTGTAGCTGTAAAGATCTTGATCAACTTCGGCAAAAATATCTTCAAATTTGATCTGAATATATCAAAACGAAACTGATTAATAAATAAAAATTATCAAATTTTTGAAATCTTTTGTTCGTCGGTTTTCCCAGCTCCACTTAGTTTTTGAAATGGAATATGGGGAGTTTATGAAAAATTGTTAGTTATCTGCATTCGCCATTTTTTTGGTGCCAATGTTTTTTATGCATTCAAAAAACGATCTATGCATATGCATGATGCATTGCAGCAAAAACGATATTTAAAAACGGTATAAATAAATAAAAATGAATAAATAAATATATATATATAACATGTTGATTTAGAAATAGTTTTAAATACTTTAACGAATTCATGCTGGCCGTACGGATCCCTTGTTACGTTCTCCCGGCTAGGAAAATTATCCTGAGTTACTTTGCAATTTAGCAATTTAATTGAAGTTTATTCGAGCAGGATTTATAAAATTACTTAAATTTAAAAATTCATATACAAACTTGTGGACGAGCATTTATCCTCTTGCTTGTCAATCTCAAGATGGTCAACATTCCCTTCGTGGTTAGCAACTGTTTCGATCAAATCATGATTATCGTATGAAACGTCTACTTGTAGATTTCTGCTTTCCATAATCTACCAACATGCCTTTGTATTTATACTAAGCATTTTTCACAACATTGACCGAAGAGTTTAACAAAGCATACGTACACGCTTCCACGTTTTACAGCGCTGAGAAAGAACGTGTACAAACAGCAAAGGGTGGTCAGCGGTAAGCTTGCGTACGCACATTGTTTACGCTGCGCCATACACAGCATGTACATAAATGCGGCAAGTTATTTCGTTTGCAACAAGCTAAAATATCATGTGCAGTTTTGAAAAACACGAGTTGTATATAAATACGTCCAATTTGACAATAAACTTGAAGACGACTGAAATAGATTAAAAATTAAATTTTGATCGTACAACAAACAACAAACTTTACAACATAAACCAAAGGGCTTCATTTACGAGGGGCAGGGGAAACAGCACCAAAGGAATCATAATTGCCCTATTGATTAAAATTTTTTTATATGTAATATTTTCATACTTGTCATAATATACATAATAATTCAGTTTTTTGCTGCTAATCCTTGACCGTCTGTCTCCTCACTAAACCGTGAAAAATTAAAATATTGTAGGATTCCTTATAAAATATTATCAGTAATGTAAACGGATTAGTAAAAAAGTCATCAACTGTAGAATGTTGTAAAATATCCCTTTCCATCAAAACAAATTTGTATCGGCCAGTTTTGCCCCCCATATTTCATACCGGAAACGACAAGTTTGCCCTTTCTATAAATCTATTTCATACTTGAAGTGAACGCCCCTACATGAAACAAATCGTTACAAGAGACGCGAGAAATAAAAAAAAAATATTTTGAATTGTCCAAACGGCTTAAATTAAATTATTTTATATCAAAATATTCTGCCTAAATTATACATTAATATTAGAAACCGAAAAAACAAGCTTACTACAAATGAACAAATGCAAAAATGGGACTAGAAATATTAGCAGAATGTCGGATAATAGAATAAGTCTGTACTAATGAGGATAGAATACTAAAAAAGTAGGAAGTTCTGTATAAGAAATCGATAGGTAGCATTGCAGAATGGACTGGGGGTGAGAATATCGAATTCAATTGAATTAGCCAACCAATTTTGAAAATTAACACGACGGCTTGATTAAATATAAACACATTAAGAGGTATCAAAGCCCGAAGCTGGCGCACTGTTAACGAAGTATTCGTCTTCAGCAAGGAACTTTTGTTCGCCGCTATCGAAGGCCGATTTATGTGTATCACAGCACTACCATAAAAAAGCGTTGGTATCATCGTCCAGACCATTATCTGATTAAAAATTTTATATTTAATAACGTGCTTACATGAACAAGCTCAAGCCAATATATAAAAATATAACAAAGAAAAACAATGATAATTAATAGAAATTAATCGTATAACGCAATTTAGTTATTTCAGTGGTTATAAAAAGATAGAGAGAATAAAAGGTTTAGGCATGTGCGTTAAAAAATTATCTCCAAGAGTTGTAATGGAAAATTAGCACATTTCTTCTAAAGAGGTAAACTATCATAGGTATTGTTAGAATTAACTATATCAGCGAGAGCTTATTGCCATTTTATGTACCTATATGTTCCATTAAAATATTATCGAAATCCATCATTGATTACCGCCCCTTGTTTTTTACCACCACTACGAGATGAGAAAACGCCGATATTGAGACGATATAAAAAATTACACAACTGGGTTTAGATTTGATAACGGAATGTTTTTTTTTAAAAAAAAAAAACAAGCATTGTAGATTAAATAAATATTTGAAAAAGGTAAGACATATTGATTATATTGATAATGAAATAAAGTAAATAATACTTTTACAGTAAATATGTCTAAATTTTTAAAACTATTTTTTCGTATATTTCTTAAAAGTGTAAATTAATTGGAGATATGTAGCTTGGTGAAAATTCGAAATACTTTTTTAAACTTTGGCTTCTAAAATCTCAGACCAGATTTGTTACTTGAATGTGGCCAATAAACCAACGTTTTCTGAATAAATCATAACTTCAGAGTTGGACCAATTCAGCAGTTAATTTTCTCATAATGAAACGGTGAAGAGCATTGCACATTTTCCAGCCAATTTATCAAAAATATTTCATCGTCTACGGATTTTTTGTGGATTCCATAAGCGAGAGGAGAGAATTTGATGAAGCTGAAAGTGAACGTGATCAAATAAGCAAATGACAGTGATTAAATTAATCATTGCGATTTAATAAGCCGGCTAAAAATTGTATTATGGACAAGAGGACAATTTAAATTATTAGCCTACAAATTACACTTCTTGAACTATGCAATGAATTAATAAAAAAATCAATGTTTATTTAAAAAAAAACACCCAAACAACAATAATACAATGACGTCAAAAAAATCTCAGGGCCACCTGTATACGAGCAGGGAGATGATGGTGACGGTAGCGGCATTTTCGTAGTATTCTTTTCTCTTTCCGAGAGTTTTGAACAGGACAGACTGGCAACAACTACAAGCGACTCCTGCAATATCAAAATATTACTGTGCTCTCTACTAAAGAAATATTTTCTAATAAGTATTTGTGTTTATTATTTCTCCAAAATATCACCATTATAACAATTGCTGAAAAAAAAACTTTTTTTTATAAATTTTTTAAAAATTTTATCTTTCTTTTGATTTATAACTTTTTAGATGTTCATTATATGTGGGTTCGACTCGAACTGTACGTAGTTTCGTTTCATTTTTAAAATCTCATGTTATTGTTGTTGCCCCATTCTGGGGGACCCCTAGGGCTCCAATCGAGGCCGGAGCCAAAACGCCACTGCAATTGGGTTTCTCCAGAGGTCTATTGGTTGTAGTTTCGTGGTGTTTTGTGAGCAGCTAAACAGGTGTTGAGGTGCCCACTGTCGATTTTGTTTTTGTAGCTGTTTAGAAGAATACTATGGCCAGAACGGAGTTGGGCTAGGGTCCGTCTGATTGCCCTGGGAAGTGATTCTTCTAGAGGATCTATTTTTGGTGTAGGTGGAGGCCATTCGTCAAGCAACAACAACGGCGAATTTTAGGAGCCTTTTGTTAGTTTGGACTCCTGAAGGGCTGCGATGTGGATGTTGTGATTTATGAGGTGTTGCTGAATTTCCTCTAGATTGTTTTTTATGCCGTTACAGTTTAGTTGAAGGAAATTTAACTGTCCGGCATTTACTGCTTGTGATGTTGATGGTTTGTTGCAGGCTGAGCTGTTGAATGATGATGTTGAAGTTGGCCGCCGTGAGGCGCCAGCAGACGCCGACGTGCCGCTTGAGTTTGAGGACGGGTGAGGACAGTTATTACAATAGTAATGACCGTTGATGTTTGTTAAGCAATTGCTGAGGTGATGCCAGTTGTAGCAGGTTCTGCAATGGGCCGAATATTGGGTTTTGTTTATCCTTTGATCTTTGATGGCATCCAGGGCAGATCCAGATCTTTGGGGGACCTAGATTTGCTTCAATTCCGGCTCTCAGGAGAAGGCAACGGGGCAGGACGGCCGGAATGGCCCGCTCCGTCGATGAAAACCCCGGTGAAACATCCAGGTGGGGAGGGTTTGTTGCAACTTTGTTGGATCGACTGATTTGACGGTCCAATCGGCTCCACCGCGAGAAGGCAGTTGCTCCAGAGCCTTTAAAATCTCATCAACTGCTTCTTTTCCCAATCTTGCAATCATGCACCTTTGTTCCCATGTCTCTTTCCAAAGCCTTCTCAGTATGAACTTTCTCTTTAAAACTGCTGTTAAAAATGTTTGACTGTGCTATCTTGAACACAAAAAAAATCAAAATTAGCTAGATTAATTCCGAATCGAAGTAGTGATGAGGTAAAAATAAATGGTTATATTTTTGTGTATAATTGACAGCCGCTAATAAGTACATTTATATTTTGTGTGCACATTTAAATACAGTTATGTATTTATCAGTTGATAAAAATCATACAAATAATTTTAAAATAGTTTCACATATTTGAAAGGAACATAAAAGGGCAAAATCGACCTGCACAGACGATTTTGAAGAGGGCAGCGACGAGGTAATGGTGGATGTACAAAACTCTGTTCACAAGCATGTACGGCATGTAATGCAAGCACCAAGCTAGCAACAAAGCAACGCATGTATACATGTGTTTCAACACTTTTTCATCTGTCATTTGATTATTTTTAATTATAATATTAGGTTGCAAGTATTACATTGCACCTCTTAGCACGTTAAAAATAAAAATGATTTGTATGTGTGCACGCAAAAAACGGCTTCTACATATACATACTATCTTATTTCAACTGTTGTTTTAAATATTTGAAATGGAATGAATCGTTTTTACATCTGGACAAGAAAATTTCAGCTCCCCGTTTGTCAAGGTTTGGAAAACTGGCGTCATAAAAGACAGACATTCAAAGGGAATGCAATCTATCTATTATAATAGGTACTAACAACTACAGGTGGTTAATATTCTGAAAAAGCTTGTCGTTAAGCAATGAAAATGTTAATTTTCACAGACATTAGTTTGTTTGAGACTTTCAAAGCTTTTAATCGCATCAATTGGGGCTAAAAAATTGCTGAAACATATCATGGGGAATAAAAAATGATAATAATGCTTGCTAAATAACATTTGGACATGAATGACATTGACATGAAGACCTGAACACAGTGGGGGATCTAGACAACTGACGGAAGGGCCAACAATTTGCAATTTGGAAATGTTTAAATTTTCACGGGGGGGGGGAAAAATTTTCATGAGGGGGGGCAAAATTTTCATGAGGGGGGGGCAACATTTTTACAGGGAGACCAAGATTTGTGGTAATACGATCCAAGATATGCCACTGGACCTGAATATAATGATCGTGAATGATTAAACTTTTAAATTTTAAAAAATGTTTAAGCAATTTTCTATTGTGGATGTTACCATACCGACATGCAAAAAATACCTTTTATAAGAGCGCATCGTCGTTGAACATGAAAAATGAAGATGCTTACAGGTGGAAGAATGGCGATGATAATGGATGACGGCCACCAGATAAATGGATTGCCCACAAGATAAATGAGATGATCATCAGAGATGGGTTGGAACTTTGAAAATTTAAGTTGAAGTATTTTTTCCTTTTCTAATTATAAAAAATTTAGGAAATTGGTTTATAACAGCGTTATTGATAAAAGTCCAACCGCACTAAACTTAACATTACCAACTATCTCTTGCTTTCGTTTAGGTACAGTCGGCGCTTTTTAAAACTTTATTAGCAACTTTAGGCTTACGGTAGTTGTTCGCTATTTGCTGACCCTTTTGAAAAAAACTACAACGGCAACCACTTTGTGATTTATAATAAATATGGGAGACGCATCAACGATCCAAAGAGAAGAATTACCAAAGATTATCCCCACCTTCGAAGAATATCACAAAAATTTCCAATCCATTTCTTTATAGTTTAAAACTGTTATAGTTTTTTATTTCATAAAAGTCCAAGCGATTAAAACAAATTTAGAATAACGTACACAAATTTTACAGAAAAAGCCTTTGACGAAATATTATCAAATCACTGAACATTATAACATTCAAGCCATTTCCATTCATGCATTTCTCATGACAACAGACCTGAAGACTGAAGAACCACGAGATAGCAGGTGAGTGGACTTCACAAGGGCGTGCCTTTAATTTGTTGCTCAGCTGTGTTGTAACCATGTAACTTATTTGTCAGTCACACAGCAACAAATATAATTGAGAAGTGTTGTTTGAGAGCAACAACAACAATAATAATAATCAGATGAATAAATTTAATAAAACGAAATTATATATTTCCCATCCAGTTAAACATACTGTGAACATGAGCTTGTGGACTTCAAAAAACTTTTCAAAAAATGACAATCTTCTCAACTGATGAACAGAACTTCCAAAAACATTAGTCTTTTCTGTGCTCGAAATGAATAAAACAATTTATTTAAAAAATAAATCCATCAATACTTACGCAAAAGAAGAAAATTTTCAAACATTATACAGACATTTATTTTAATATAAGAAAAAGAGTTTCCACGAATGAACAGCAATCTAATCTATTTACCACCAAACCACCAAAACACACGTCATTACTTGCCCCGTCCATCTCCAGCCTCCTCTCCAGCCCGCTCCACGTACCAGGTGGCAGTCGCAACGCAACGACTGCAGGTCACCAGGTCTTCGTGCCAGGCCCTTCAATTATGCCATCAACATTTTTTAAATATTTTTGCGGTAATATTGTCATCAACTTGCATTTGAATAGGTCTAATTTTGAGGTTTCATCGTTATTTTTTATTAAAAAAAATGTTAAAAATATTTAGAAATAAATTAAATTAATTTAAATGAGTTAATTCCATAATTTGTCTTTTAACTGCTATAAAATTAAGTAGGCCTCGTAGATTATACAAATAACTTCAATCTTCTTTGTTTTTCTTTGTGATGGCATAAGAGTAATTTGGGGAAAGTTTTTACATCCGGACACCCATCTTGACGACAACCACCAGTTATAAGCGGTGGGCCTGGCCTTTTGCTCAAAAGCACGCAAGGCAGCGTGGATGCAGTTTTATGTCATGCCCAGGACATTTACATTACATCTCATTTACATTATACTTCCCAGGGATTCTTGGCACTCCTTGACCACTTAAGGCCTGCTGGGGACTAGGGGCCGTTGTTTATACAAATATACATATTATTATACAAATAACTTGCATTATTATACAAATAACTTGCATTTGACAAATAGAAATGTACACGTTCACTAATTTGTGCATGAAGCTACTAATACAGCTAGGGGCCGTTGTTTATACAAATATACATATTATTATACAAATAACTTGCATTATTATACAAATAACTTGCATTTGACAAATAGAAATGTACACGTTCACTAATTTGTGCATGAAGCTACTAATACAAAATGACTACTGCACATATTGCTTCTACTATACATTGATTAAACCACTCACAAATGTTGGCACTGGCTACATGTTTGTTGGTTGGTAGGCGCCAGAAAACAACATTCCTCCTCATCGCTGATGATGGCTTGCAGCTGAAATACATGAACGAACTGCTTCAATTTTAAATGATCATCATTTTCAACTCCATCATTTTCTCTTTCTGAATCATCTAAATCTCTTCCAACACCACACTGCTTCACGACTGAAAAGATTGTTGATAGTTTGTTGGGTGAAAAGAAATAATGTTGTAAATTAAGTATCTCAGAAGATTTATCTAATCTATCTGTGTAATCTAGATCTAAAAATCTAGCACACAAAAAACAAAATAACGAGATTATGTTTGAAACAACAATCAAACACTCGTTGTTCAAATTTGTAAATATTTTCAGAAAATTTATACTTGACCTCAAATAATATTTCGATGTCTATTAAATTATTTTTAATTTAGTGTCGGCCATTTAAACATAGGTGTAAGTTTTTAAAAATATTCTACAATTCTTTAGTTGACAAGCACAAACAATCTTAAACTATCGACAACTGTCGTCGCATTCAAATATTAATAATTGTGCCAACGATTTTAAATGCCTTCATGCGTTAGATGCGTGACATTCAACCTTTTTCACGATTTATTTGATTGAAAATTTAAACTAGCTGACGCATTGTGCTCGAGTTGAGCATGTGTGCAAAGTTTTATTTCTAATAACAGATTGAAGGCCTTGCACCATAAAAGTAAATTATAAATGCAATGAATAAACAGGATTAGCTGTCAATAATTCAACATTCTAACCTATCATAATTATGAAACAATATATAATCTACCTACCTACCTACCTACCTACCTACCTACCTACCTACCTACCTACCTACCTAGCTATCCATCCATCCATCCATCCATCCATCCATCCATCCATCCATCCATCCATCTATGAAACAATATCTAACTACTTGTTGAAATTTGTTGTGACGACTTGTAATCAATTTGTAATCTAAACAAAGTTTCCTGAAACGCAGAACCGCAATATTCATCGTAATTCTCTCCATCTTCGGGGTAGTTCTCAAAGTTTGTTTCATTTCCAGCATGTTCACACAATTTCTGTTGGATGTGTATTTATTAGACTGTTTCAAAAAAATTTTTTTTTAAAAACAATGCATAGGGGCTTATATGGTGTGGTTTTATATTTGTATCATCCTGTAAAAATTTCAATTAAAAAGGATAAGTATTAGTGACCTCTCAAATCAAATTTTGTTTTTTTTATGAAGCCCGAATGATTTTTTTTGGTGTTTGGGGTTTTTCAAATATTTTTACATGTTTTTATAAAACATTATAGAAGTTTATTGTTTGGAGAAGACAAAGAATTTGCCAAACAAGAAGAGAAAAGATTAAAAAGGAAACTAAGCAAAAATCAAAAACAAGAAAAACCTAATAAAAAGAGAAACAGCCAATTATGAAGATGATGATGATAATTCAACAACAACAGATGACATAAGCGATAAGTCTGATGAGGAAGTAGAGTGTCAGCAAATACCAGCAGAATCAAATTGCAGGAAGTACTCCGATATCTCCTAAAACTAATGAACTTAAAAAAGGTGTCAAGTAGATAACCCACTGTTCATGGCAAGTCTAGATCGTACAAAACAACTTATAGGGAAGCCATGCACATAGTTGCTTTAGCATTAAAGGCAGTTGGAATCAACGTTGATAAACTCACTTTGTCAGCAAGCTCTCTTTACGGATCTAGAAAAGCTATACGACAATCTATCGGAAAAACTATAAAAAACACATTTTTGCCTAACACACCTCTTGTGGCTCACTTTGATGGAAAACTTTTACCTGATTTTGATGGTGTAAACATAGATCGTCTGCCAATTGTGGTATCAGGGAAAAATGTAGAAAAACTGATAGCTATACCAAAAGTTGGCGGTACTGGCATAAACATAGGAACCACAATAGTTCAGTTACTTCAGAATTGGGAAGGCGTGTCAAATTGGTTGGCTGGTTTGTGTTTTGACACAACAAGTTGGTGTCCGGAAAATTCATCGTGGAAAATTCATCGTGGCAAATTCATCGTGGGAAAATTCATCGTTAGGGAAAATTCAACGTGGGAAAATTCATCGTGGGAAAATTCATCGTGGGGGGAAATTCATCGTGGGAAAATTTATCGTGGAAAATTCATCGCGGGAAAATTTATCGTGGGGTAAAATTCATCGCG